CTTGAGAAACCTGTATGCAGGTCAGGAAGCAACAGTTAGAACTGGACATGGACCAACAGACTGGTTCCAAATAGGAAAAGGAGTACGTCAAGGCTGTATATTGTCACCCTGCTTATTTAACTTATATGCAGAGTACATCATGAGAAACCCTGGGCTGGAGGAAGCACAAGCTGGAATCAAGATTGCTGGGAGAAATATCAATAACCTCAGATATGCAGATGACACCTCGCTTATGGCAGAAAGTGAAGACGAACTAAAGAGCCTCTTGATGAAAATGAAAGAGTTCACATGCCACAACTAAAGATCCTGAGTGCTGCAACTAAGACCTGCTGCAACTAAGACCAGATAAATAAGAATAAATATTGTTTAAAAATAAAATACCCCATTTGGGAAGAAAAAGAACAGTAGGAATTTAAGAACTAAACTGGACTAGGTTCAAGATGGTGGAGTAGAAGGATGTTCACTTCCTTCCTCCTGCAAGAGAACCAAAATCACAGCTAGCTGCTGAACAACCATCAGCAGGAGGATGCTGATGGAGGTATCCAAAAAAGATACCCCATGTCCAAGGACAAAGGAGAAGCCACAACAAGATGGTAGAAGGGTGCAAGCATGATAAAATCAAATCCCATACCCACTGGGTGGGCGACCCACAAACTGGAGAACATTAATGCCAAAGAAGTTCTCGCACTCGTGTGAAGGTTCTAGGCTCCACATCAGGCTCCCCAGCCTGGGGATCCCCAGGGAGCCTGACTTTGAAGGCCTGCAGAATTTGATTCTAGGCCCTCCACAGGACTGAAGGAAAAACAGAGACTCCACTCTGGGAGGGCACAAACACAGAACCAGACTGGACCCCCCTGGTTCTTGTCTGGAATGGGGGTGGGGATGAATGCGGTCCTCTGTCATTCACTGTATCGGGGTTATAGGGCCGGGCACACCGGGGTGCCCCTTCCTCTCTTGCCTTGTACAGGTAAGCCCCCTGTGCATCCATCCCTTGCCCCACCGTGCAGCCGCCTCTGACTGGCATCTTCCCTGGTTCCCTGTGCTGCACTTGCTGTCGCAAACCTCTGCTGCATCCTCAGTTGGGAAAGGCCCCCTGGGGTCCCCAGGACTCGGTACCCTCGTCACGTCCTCTGGGGAGGCCCTGCTCTCTGGGGTCCCAGGGGGCTCCGGGGCCCTTCCCCGGTTTGAAAGCTGTTAATCTACAGACCCAACAGAGGATGAGATGGTTGGATGACATCATCGACTCAATGGACATGAGTTTGAATGAACTCCGGGAGTTGGTGATGGACAGGGAAGCCTGGCATGCTGCAGTCCGTGGGGTTGCAAAGAGTTGGACACGACTGAGCGACTGAACTGAATCTGTAGACCCAGCCTCTTTGTGTGGCACATAGGTTCTTCCTGATCTGACCTGGCTGACGCTGCCTTCCTCTCTGACTTCATCACTGGCAGTTCTTGTCATCCTTTTCTCAGCAATGCCTGATAAACTCCCAGTCACCCATTCAGGGCTGCTGCAGAGATGAGGTGGGCTGAGGGCTCTGTGATAAGCCACTTCTTTCTGTGCCTGTGTCTGCAGGAAATGGCTACATTTCAGTTTTATTTTTTAATATATATATATATTCATTTTTGCTGCATCCCGTGGCCTGTGGGATCCTAGTTCCCCGAGTAGGGCTGGAACCTTTGCCCCCTGCAGTGGAAACGTGGAGTCTTAGTCACTGGGACCACCAGGGGAGCCCCACTGCTGTGTTTTGAAGGCTGCAGGGAGCATCCTTCCCAGAAGCTCTGCCTGCCCTGGCTCCCCGCCTCCAGGCCCCCAGCGTCCCTGCCTGGCTCAGCCAACGCTCCGTGTTGTCCTCTGAGCTGGACCCCTGTGCTGGAGCCACGCTTGCTCCTTTCGTACCCTGGACTCTTGTGCTAGGAGAGGCTGTGTTCGCTGAGTGCGCACAGCATGTGAGATCCAAGCGCGTGACGGAAGGAGGGGGAGCGAATACAAGTCACGGCACAGGACCCAGTAGATGGGCAGGGGGAGGATTTGCTTCCTCTCATCTCGCCAAGCCTTTTCCCCACGTGGAGGAACTGCTATGTGTGCGAACGGTGGGAACTTTGCTGATCTGGTAGAAGAGGTGGTGGGAGGTGATTCCTGCAGGGTTAACCTCTTGACAGATGGAGCTGCTCTTTTAAACAATTTATTGTGAATTATTTTGAACATACTGGGAGCTACAAAGAGTCTCATCCATGTCTCTACCTCCCAGATTAAGAGACAAAACATTGCTAACGTGGCTGCAGCCTTTAAACCAGTATCTTGATTTTGGTGTTCATCACTCTCCTGTAGTCTTTTTTGTTTTTCCCAAAATTTTTTATTTATTTTATTTTTGGCTGTGCTGGGTCTTTGTTGCTGTATGGGCTTTTCTCTAGTTGCAGTGAGCGGGGGCTATTCCCTAGTGGTGTGCGGGCTTCTCGTTGCAGTGGCTTCTCTTGTCTTGGAGCTTGGGCTCTAGGGCGCGCGGGCTTCAGTAGCTGTGGCTCCTGGGCCCTAGAGCACAGGCTCAGTGATTGTGGCACACAGGTTTCATTGCTCTGTGGCATGTGGGATCTTCCTGCATCAGGGATCGAACCCATGTCTCCTGCCTTGGCAGGCGGTTCTTTACCACTGAACCACTAGGGAAACTCCCCTATAGTCTTTTCTACTTTTATATCAGTTAGATATGTGTTTACATGCATGTATATAGAGCATATGTCCATTTTATATAGATTTACGCTTATCGTTTTGAAAACCATTGATTTATGCCGTATGGTCATTACCTACCACCTTGCTTTTTTCAGTGTTCTGTCTGGAAGGTTCATCTCCAGCTTCCATCTGGGTTGATCCATATAAAGCTAGTTAATCTTTCTTGCTGTGTGAATACCACTGTGTAGTATTCCGGTTTGTGTATCTTGTATCACTCACTAGAGTGTCTGGTTTGCTTCCAGCTTTTTTTCTTTTCACACAGTGATGCTTCTGTGAGCATTCTTGTTAACACATACGAGGTCTTCTCAAGGATGACTTATACCAGTAGAGTTTCTGGGTCATTGCAAATGTGCGTCTTCAACTTTATTACATTTTGCAAAAATTATTCTCCGAGGTTTATTGACTCCATTCTTGAACAGAAAGAAACCTTGTTTCATTCTGATAAGTGAGTTATGTTAATGTTTCAGATGTAGTGGATCGGAAGTTACATTTCAGTTGAAGACACTTACTTGAGCATGGTCTGTGTGTCTGATTTGTAGAGCCAGGATGCTGACTTAAAATAGAGATAGTATGTGCAAGGTTCGAATTTATATAAACTTCTACATAGAAAGAATTAGGTTACATTCAGCAGGTTGTTCAAAAAGCATGTTGGATCATTTTTAGGATCTGGATGGCTCACTGTGGGGCTGTTTGTTGTATGAATATTTGAGTGAGTGAATAAATGAATAGAACTGTAGAGCTCAACACAAGAATGGTAAAACACAGTGGAATAAATAGAAACCAAGTTAGTGTCCTTGAAAAAAAAGAGTTAGTCACTCATTCGTGTCTGACTCTTTGCAGCCCCATGGACTGTAGCCCGCCAGGCTCCTCTGTCCATGGGATTCTCCAGGCAAGAATACTGGAGTGGGTTGCCAAACATCCTCCAGGGGATCTTCCCGACCCAGGGACCAAACCTGTGTCTCTTTCATCTCCTGCATTGGCAGGCAGGTTCTTTACCACTAGCGCCACCTGAGAGTCGAGGTGCTAAAGGGAAGAGCTCACAGTGTGGGGAGGTTCCCCATGCTGGTTTATAGTCAACCTTGCCGGAGGCTGCAACTTCATGTGATGTTTGCCTTTAGCCTACACCCCTGTCTGGGGGCAGGGTCCTGACACACCTGCAGTTTCTTTCCTTCATCACGAGCTCGGAACCTGGGCAGGCCTGACATGCTTTCCCGATGTGGGGTCTGTGCCCCCCCTTCTGCAGGCGAGACCCTCCTCTGGTCCGGCGTGGGTGACAGACCAGGGCTACCTCCCTCCCAGCCTCAGTCAAGACCCCGACAGGCCTGAACCCAGGCTTGGCAGACAACTCATTCCCACTGCAGCCCTGTTGCCCTGCAGTCGTGGCTCTTTTCCCGGAGACGAACTTCACCCTGGCCAGGTGCCCCCTGAGGTCCCTGCTGAGTGTCACCTTGAAGCTCCATCCAGAACGCGCTTGCGGTCGAGTGTCAGTTTGCGCGGGGCTGCTGAGACAAAGTGGCGCAGACTGTGGCTTCCATAGAGATGCGTCTCCGGGTTCTAGAGGTGGGGGTGGTTTCCTCTGAGGCCGCCCTCCTCAGCTTGGAGGTGGCCGTTTTCTCCCGGGGTCTTCACAGCAGCCTCCCTCTGTGTCTCTTGCCCAGATTGCCTCTTTTCATAAAGACACCAAGAGTATTGGGTTAGGGGCTTCCCTGCTGGCTCAGCTGGTTAAGAATCTGCCCTCAATGCAGGAGACCTGGGCTCAACCCCCTGGGTTGGGAAGGTCCCCCGGAGGAGGAAATGGCAACCCACTCCAGTCTTTTTGACTGGAGAATCTCCCGGATCAAGGATCCTGGTAGGTTACAGTCCTCTTTTTATAAAGGTACCAAGGATGTTGGGTGAGGACGTATACTAATGACCCCGCATTAACTTGATTGCCTGTGTAAAGACCCAGTTCCCAATATGGTCACATTCTGAGGTCCTGGGGCTGAGGACACTTCATCCCATGAAGCTTGGGGGTCACAGTGCAACCCCTAAGAGGGAGGCACACTGTAGGATTCTGTGTAATTGTTAAAAGGTTTCTTGCAAACACAGTGGGTTTTCAGTGACTGGGGAGGTAAGTGTTCTAGACATTTTCATACTTTCTCACATTTACATTTGCATACTTTGTGACAGATGCAGAAACAAATTCACAGTTTGTTACCAGACTGGGTCTAGTACAGCCAGTGTATTTACTTGCTAACTTCTAGGAAGGAAGTTGTAGAGATCAGTTTAAAAAGAGAGATTTTTGTCACTAGAATTACATATAAATTGATTTTTTTTTTTCCCTAAGAATTTATTGCCTGAAGGCATGCCTTGTGACTTTTTTTTTCTTTTCTTTTCGTTTTGATTTGTTTTCAAGTTTATTTCAGTTGTTGTTCTAAAAGAAAATTTAAAAAACCCGAACAAATTTTTTTGTTGTTCTAGATTTAAAAGAAATTGTATTTGTCATCCAGAGTCAAAGTAATTCTTTTCATGTGAAGAAAGCAGAACAGTTAAAACAAAGCATCTTAAAGCAGTCTGCAGATCTTACACAGGTATGTAAAGATGACTTGGGATGTCTGATTATTTCTTGATACGTTTATGTTTTCCAAAGCTCTTGGTCCATAGCGAGTCAGTTCTATTTAGATAGAATACATCTTCTGATTTGTTTTGCTGGCTTAATATGGACTATTTGTTGTTTAAAATGCTCTAGTTAATTTCTAATGCTCTAAGTATCATGTTCTAAATTATTATATACATATTTTAACAGACATGTAAAAATGTATAGGACTAGCATGGTTTCATCATAAAATATGACAGAAAAAAGTGGAAGAAATAACTTTTTAAAGGCGGAGCTTAAGCAAAGATAATTAATGTTCGAAATTTTGGTAACAGGTTCTAAGGCAATTTTTATGTTGAAATAACACTTTCATTAACTTTTGTGCAGTGCTTCTTCTATGAGTTTCTTAATCTGTTTTTTGATTGGTTATTATTAACTGAACTTCTGATTTGATTTATAATGTAATATCTGAGGAGGATTATGGAGAGAAAGATTGACACATCCAGGTGTACTTTAATAAAGTTTAAAATAAGCGTGAACTGAATTGAAATCTGTTCTGCATATTGTGGGAGGTTTGCGGCAAAGGAAGGTCTACCCACGTATGCAGCCATATAGAAGCATTCCTCCTTAGCCAAGCAGATACGGTCCTCCCAGCCCACTACACTGCATGGTTGTGGCCTTGGCCTTCAAAACAGAAGTGCTTGTCTGGAGATAAAAGCCATCAAGAGTTCTTCGACCAGAGACCTGTTTGTTTGGCAGATGGCTTGCTTTCTTTGTTTGGCAGATGGCTTGCTTTCTTTTGGGAGCGTGGAAGTAAAGGATTGGAAATAACAATGGAAAAGTGAACAACCTTAATGGTGTTCAACGTCAGGGCACTGCTGGCAGTGAGGCTTATTGTGTTTGTCCTTTAAATGCTGTATGTCAGAAAGTCATCCAACCTCCCCATGTCCCCACAAGGACAGATCCTAGCTCCTCTCCTTGGAGCATCAGAATGTCTCAAGGGACAGGAAAGGATTGCAGGCTGTAGACAAGTGGGTTTTTTGGTCGGGGTGGGGCAGTAATTAGAGATAGTAGCTTGATTAAAGTTCTCCTTTGTCTGGGCTTCCCCTGTGGCTCAGCTGGTAAAGAATCCGCCCGCACTGTGGGAGACCTAGGTTTGATCCCTGGGTTGGGAAGATCCCCTGGAGAAGGGAAAGGCTACCCACTCCAGTACTGTTGCCTGGAGAATCCCATGGACTGTAGTCCTTGGGGTCGCCAAGAGTCGGACACAACTGAGTGACTTTTGTTATTATTTGTCTGGAAACCCAACTTGGGCCAGAGTGACTTGCAGTGAACCAGGGACAGGGAAGTATTCTCAGAACTTTGTTTACAGTGGGGAAAAGGTATGTGGGTACCTTTTGGAGGAAAGCAATAGGGATTATTATTATTATTATTATCAGTGCTATGGTTTTTCTAGTAGTCATGTATGGATATGAGAGTTGGACTATGAAGAAAGCTGAGCACAGAAGAATGATGCTTTTGAACTGTGGTGTTGGAGAAGACTCTTGAGAGTCCCTTAGACTGCAAGGAGATCCAACCAGTCCATCTTAAAGGAAATCAGTCCTGAATATTCATTGGAAGGACTGTCGCTGAAGCTGAAACTCCAATACTTTGGCCACCTGATGCAGAGAACTAACTCATTGGAAAAGACCCTGATGCTGGGAAAGACTGAAGGTGGGAGGAGAAGGGGATAACAGAGGATGAGATGGTTGGATGGCATCACCAACTCAATTGACATGAGTTTGAGCAAGCTCCGGGAGTTGGTGATGGATAGGGAAGCCTGGTGTGCTGCAGTCCATGGGGTTGCAAAGAGTCGGACACAACTGAGCAACTGAACTGAATAGGGATTATAAAATGTTCATTCTTCTTTCCTGCCCCTTAGGCAGAAGGTGCTGCTAGGGGCTGGGAATGCCTGCTTCTTCAGGGATCTGGGGCTTACATGCAGGACCACTGGGTGACTCCGGGGAGGATGGGTACAGGTTCCTGTCTAAACAGAGTGTGGCCGTTGTATATATGGTTGGAGAATGTGTGCGTCTCCCAGGAGTGGAGGCAGGGTGACAGCAGCTGAGAGTGTGGATCTGGCAGAACTGTGGGAACCTCCCGTGCTCCTTAGCTTTTGCCAAGACTTCCCGCCAGAGCTTGTTAACTCTAGTCCCACCTTTGGTGCCAGCTTCATTTCCCACCCCTCGTCCCCTTGTATTTTCTTTGCCAGTAACTGCAAACTCTTGGGCATCCCTGGGCCTACCTGGTTATGCCTGTGACCTTGCACAGGACCCCCTTCATCTTGACAAGCTCCTGGGGGTGCCGTTCTGCGCAGCGTCTTGACCCACAGGGACAAATTGCTTCCTCCTTGGTTCTGCTTTTATTGTATAGTTTTCACTTTTGTACTATTTTTGTTCTGTCTCTCTTTTATAAAATTTGAGAGCAGAGACTGTCTTATTGGTTTTTGATCCTCAGAACCAAGCACAGAGCTTTCCATGTTCAAAACCTGAGTCCTCAGTGAATATTTATTACACTGAGTCCCTGAAATTAATCATCCAACTCTCTCCATATTTTCTTTTCTATTGTAATAGAAGTTACCTTTTATTTCTTTTACAGTATGGTCACTTTTTTCTTAAACTGTTTTTTAAAGTTGAAGTTTAGTTAATGTACAATGTTGTGTTTCAGGTGTATGGCAAAGTGAGTCAGTTTTATGTGTGTGTGTTTGTATATGCACCTTACCTTATACACACACACAGATATAAATTTTTTTTCAGATTCTTTTCCATTATAGGTTATTAGAAGGTATTAAATATAGTTCCCTGTGTTCCATAGTAGGTCTTTGTTGTTTATCTATTTTATATATAGTAGCAGGAATATGTTAATCTCAAACTCCTAATTTATCCTTCTCCCTTCCAGTTTGGTAACCATAAGTTTGTCTTCTATGTCTATGAGTCTGTTTCTGTTCTGTAAATAAGTTTGTGTGCATCTTTGTTTTTAGTTTGCACATATATTTGTCTCTGGCTTACTTCACTTAGTATGATCATCTTTAGATCCATCCATGTTGCTGCAAATGGCATTTTCTTCTTCTTTATGGCTGAGTAGTTAGTATTCCATTGTGTATGTACCACATCTTCTTTCTCCATTTGTCTGTTGATGGACACTTAGTTTGCATCCATGTCCTGGCTATTGTGAATAGTGCTGTCATGAACTGCACACACACTACACACTGCAGTTTTGACTCCACACACACACACACATACACACACACACACAGACTCGTATGAAATCACAGGTTCTTTGAAGGCAGATGCTCTGGCTTGTTCTGCTTTTAATTCTCTCATAGTACCTTTTGCATAGTGAATATTCAGCATACAGCATTTGAATTGAATTCAGAATAAACGGAACAAATGAAAACTAAGCATTTTTTTTCTTTTCTTTTTTAAAGCATTATTTTAAGTAAATTATTTTATCTATTAAAATTATTTGTCTTAATTTTTAAATTGATTAGATCCACCACCTCTTATATTAAATATAAAAACTATTTTACTTCTCCCCAGGAAGCCACAGAGTTTAGGGAGAAAAGTAGAATAAAATGAGCCGGAGTCTGTGCTGCAGTCCATGGGGTTGCAAAGAGTCGGACACAACTGAGCAACTGAACTGAATAGGGATTATAAAATGTTCATTCTTCTTTCCTGCCCCTTAGGCAGAAGGTGCTGCTAGGGGCTGGGAATGCCTGCTTCTTCAGGGATCTGGGGCTTACATGCAGGACCACTGGGTGACTCCGGGGAGGATGGGTACAGGTTCCTGTCTAAACAGAGTGTGGCCGTTGTATATATGGTTGGAGAATGTGTGCGTCTCCCAGGAGTGGAGGCAGGGTGACAGCAGCTGAGAGTGTGGATCTGGCAGAACTGTGGGAACCTCCCGTGCTCCTTAGCTTTTGCCAAGACTTCCCGCCAGAGCTTGTTAACTCTAGTCCCACCTTTGGTGCCAGCTTCATTTCCCACCCCTCGTCCCCTTGTATTTTCTTTGCCAGTAACTGCAAACTCTTGGGCATCCCTGGGCCTACCTGGCTATGCCTGTGACCTTGCACAGGACCCCCTTCATCTTGACAAGCTCCTGGGGGTGCCGTTCTGCGCAGCGTCTTGACCCACAGGGACAAATTGCTTCCTCCTTGGTTCTGCTTTTATTGTATAGTTTTCACTTTTGTACTATTTTTGTTCTGTCTCTCTTTTATAAAATTTGAGAGCAGAGACTGTCTTATTGGTTTTTGATCCTCAGAACCAAGCACAGAGCTTTCCATGTTCAAAACCTGAGTCCTCAGTGAATATTTATTACACTGAGTCCCTGAAATTAATCATCCAACTCTCTCCATATTTTCTTTTCTATTGTAATAGAAGTTACCTTTTATTTCTTTTACAGTATGGTCACTTTTTTCTTAAACTGTTTTTTAAAGTTGAAGTTTAGTTAATGTACAATGTTGTGTTTCAGGTGTATGGCAAAGTGAGTCAGTTTTATGTGTGTGTGTTTGTATATGCACCTTACCTTATACACACACACAGATATAAATTTTTTTTCAGATTCTTTTCCATTATAGGTTATTAGAAGGTATTAAATATAGTTCCCTGTGTTCCATAGTAGGTCTTTGTTGTTTATCTATTTTATATATAGTAGCAGGAATATGTTAATCTCAAACTCCTAATTTATCCTTCTCCCTTCCAGTTTGGTAACCATAAGTTTGTCTTCTATGTCTATGAGTCTGTTTCTGTTCTGTAAATAAGTTTGTGTGCATCTTTGTTTTTAGTTTGCACATATATTTGTCTCTGGCTTACTTCACTTAGTATGATCATCTTTAGATCCATCCATGTTGCTGCAAATGGCATTTTCTTCTTCTTTATGGCTGAGTAGTTAGTATTCCATTGTGTATGTACCACATCTTCTTTCTCCATTTGTCTGTTGATGGACACTTAGTTTGCA